AATACAAGCAAGTAAAAGCGGCAGGGCTTCTTACTGAATAGAGTGCCCTTTTTAAACTGAATTGCATCAGAATTTTGACGTCTCAAAATGCTAAAAATGATATATATGTATATATACACACATATATATATATATGTGTGTGTGTGTGTGTGTGTGTGTGTGTGTGTGTGTGTATAAAACTTTAATAGTTTTCCTTAATTTGTGTCATGGAATGCATGGTTTCCATGGAATCCAAAACAACCAAGTCTGACTGTGAGCACAGAAGCCCCACCCACCTGCTCTTTAAACCTTTTGTTTGGAAGAGCAGCCAGTCACAAGAAAGTTGGCCTGGGAGAAAGTACTGTTACTAAAATGCTTTGTTTCGGACAGAGGTTGGGCTAAGGCCTAGTCCCAGGTCAATAAGGATTATTTTAAACTGTGTGATTCATGCTAAGCTACTGTAGTAGATCCAAGAATAAAATAAGGGCACTCAAAAATAGCTACATGACCAGTGGGATGCTTGTTTCATTTCTTTTACTTCCCAAATATCCATATTCCACTACTGCACTGGTTCTGTCAAAATGTCTTCCTGTCTAAATGGAGTTCTTTCTCCCCACTTTCACCAAGAACTCTATACTGTAAGGTAAAGGCCCTACAATATTAAAGGGTCTCAAGAGGATTGTTATTTTGGACTGGAGGTATATACAGTGATAAATAAAATAAATAAAAGTGAACTGATCAAGTGAATGAATCAAAAGCTGTAAATAGTTACCATTTTGTATAAACGTATAATTATTACAGATGTACAGCGAGTGCAGCAAACAAGATGACACATACATGGTGCTTTGAAAATATTTTATTTCTTTTCCGTGTTGATACATAATTAGACATTTATATTTTCATAGAAATAGTATATATATATATATATATATATATATATACCATGGGTGTGAACAATAGCAGAGTCATGCTAGCCCTCATGAACAGGTTTTATCCCATTAACATCAAAATAGTTCAACAGACATGGTGTACATAAAACACAGACTCACATTATTCTGCTGTAAATCCATGCTTCTTGGTTATTTGCTTTGACATAATGAACAATATATGCCATAAGTAAACGGCCCTATTCTTCTCTACACTATGTAGGGCCTTATTCAAGGTTCTCAGTATTCAGTCATCCAGTCTACAGTACAGGCAAACAAGTGGGAATTGGCTCTTTTTTAGCCATAGGCTTCGGGTTGAAGATGAACAGGAGTTGGATTTAAGGCCGGGGTTACTGAGAAGCTCACAGATATTCATCATGTCACAATGATTTAAATTACATAGTTATATCTGGGTTTATGACGTACAAAGGAGGGAGGCTGCGAGTGTGAATGAGCACTTAAAAGTCCTCTGCTGCAAGTATAGCTGCTTTCAGGACACCTATGGACACAAAAAGAACTGGTGAGTGGATCGGATGCTGTTTGGCCAATGTGATAAGTTGTCAGATTTTCTGTGGTGCAATTGTTTTTTTGTTTTTTTACAATTTCGGTAGAGCAGTTTCTGTCCATGATGACACATTCAAATCCAAATTGAGACTCTTGTCACGCTGCAAACAAAAGACACCCCTGTTAAGATTCAAACATGTCGCCGTGACTGAAATCGGAGGTTCGATTCAGCGAACTCTATCGGGTATAATGATCTTTCCTGCCCCTCTGCGTCTGTCACTCATGAGCCTATTCCCTCTGATTCTCTGACTCATCCTCCCCTCTGTGTGTGTGCCTCACTCGGTCTCTGTCTTTAGGTCTCTCTCCCAATCTCGAGCTTCATATTTGCACATGCCTCATTGGACGTTCACCTTGAGCAGCTGTTCAGTGGCTTCCTGCAGCCTCAGATAGACAGAGACTGAGCTGTTTGGGACAGGCCTACCTTCTGCTGCTTCTCTCCCCATGTGTCAGTTTGGACTGCAGCCAGTTGGAGAATAGACGTGGTGGATGAGTGAGTGTGCTTCTATGTGTGCTTGGATTCGACCGCTATGAAAATGACCACTTCAGCTTCGGTATCTGCACAGTCACTAAGTATATTTGTACTTTTATCACACTCAGATTACATTTAGTGTTTACCCCTGTGCACCCTGATTAGGGGAAAGTTCCCACGTCACGTACGTGACATGAATATCAAACAGTCAGTACTTTCAAATAGCTTAATTCTTTATTTCTTCATGAGTCAAAACTAATATCAATTTGGATCTGTGCATTCAAAATAAAAGAAGGATTTCATCATATTTTTGGACATTTATGGTTTCATTTGCAGTAATAGCTGCTCGTAAATGGAATAAAAAAATGTCATTATGTCAAATTAATCTAATGTTAAAATCAAGTATTGTTAAAAGTTTCAGTTTTTTTCTCAATGATCACAAAGAGGAACGTATTACAAGTGAAATAAAAAAGCGATGTTAAAAAGAAGAGCAGATTTAGATTTGTTTAATTTGCATTATAATAGTTTTTGTCAGTTTTGCTATTTTGTCAAACAGTATAAAAGATGGGCGTAGCTTCCCAGGTCTGAAAAGTAAAGCCAATACGACATGCCTTAAATATTTGCTTTGTTTAATGGCCATCGGGGGGGGGACACCAAAAAAGACTCCTGGTCCCATCGAGCTTGACCTCTGGACATGTTCTCTGCTGTGCTTGTGGTTACTCATTTTGGGCCATAATGAACAAAAACAAGGTCATTTTTATAAATCTTGTTTCAGAGTATGTTCATTGGCTAATAACTTGTCAACAATAAGCTGGCCAATGAGCATGCAGTTTCACAGTCAGACCTGCTTCTTTCTCACCATAGCTGGTTTCAAAACACCAAGACTGCAATGAAAATGCTCAGTAGAAGAAGGGACTTTGCAAATCAATGCGTGACATTACAGTATGTCCACATTTTATATTCTATGTTTCCTTGGGGTCTAGTCTGTAGACAAGATGATGCTCTCATGTTTAAGCTCGCCTACAAACCTCACTGGTACTTAATTACTTCTACCAGAGCTGTAGCACTAGTTTTCGAGTAAAATTGGGGATATGTGCAGTGATCTGGGGCTGACTGCACCAGCTGGTTTTTACAAAGCCTGATCTTATCTCGGTGCACATACTGCCTTGCTTAGGAGAGGGTGAATCAAATGAAAAGCACATCAAGTGGGCACCAACTTAATTATTGATGACTTTAGAGAGGATTCACCTGTGTTAGCCTGGTTTGTTCAACATAGAAAGCAGTGTGCTGACTGGAATATGGCCCAACACTGTCTTGGGATCTTGAAAACAAGGTGACTGGACTTCTTCAGTTCTAAAACCAATCATTAGTTTAGCTTAACCCGTTGAACCCTAGTGCCCCTGATACCAGGGTCAGAGGGTTTCACAGGCTGTGCCACTAGGTCTGTCATTTAGATATAGACATGTATGACATCAGAATCTCAGCTAAACGCTCACAAAATCATTTTGATTACCACCAATCAGTTTAAACAAGAAACAATTAAAGAGCAGGTAAATAACTTCTGCGAAAGATGTTAACACAAAGCGCAGATTCCTCCGTTCACATGACGGCATGTACACGGACAAACAATGTTTTACTTCAGCAGAATCAATCTTTCCACAGAATGTCTTAGAGAAAATATTAGAATAATAGAGAGGTCTACAAGCATGGTCAGGTTACCACCAGCACAACAGGAATATCCTTCCTGTCCTCTTTTTTGCAGTTTTAGCAGACCTTTTAAAAAAGATGTCAAATGGGAAACAAGAGGGCTTTTTAAAAATACTTCCAGATTTGCTGACTGAAACCTTTCTCTGCTTTCCTCTTTGTCCACATGTGCAGACAGAGCAACAACAGCAAGTCTAACACAAGTTTCTAAAAGACCAGCTACACTGCTCTTTGAAAAAGCCTGACATTCACTTCCCTGGAGTCTATTTTGTTTGACATGCTTGTTCTTTAATTCTGCTGTGCTCTACAGTGCTGGTCATGGTGCCCTACTTCTGTCATCGCCTCAAGTATCATATGCTCCCCAAAATCACCAGTCTTCTCTTTGAATGTTTGCCTTTGTACCACTTAATTTCGTTTCTTTAATGTCAGACAGTTTGTCCCTATACTCTACTAAATTATTATTCATTCGAAGTAATTTCTTAAATCCCTCTGCTCTGTAGACACGCTTGTTTTACATCAATATAGTTTAAGAAACTGATATGTGAACGAATTTGTTGATTTTTTTTATCTTCATCCCACATTAAAGAGTAACCAATGTTTCAATGCTTTCTGTGATCAAAAGTGTAAAGCCTAATGCCTCAGTATCACAGGCATATAAATTAAACACCAAAGATCAGCAAAGACGAGATTTTATAGCTGCTGTTAAATTACTTTTGTGGATTTTTCCTTCTTTCATTTGGAACACCTTTCCAATGTGCATTCAATAAACCTTTCCTCTGTTGAGCTACACTTGTCTTCCCTGTACAACCATTTGATATTATTGTTAATTATTTTGAACCATTCTGCAAATTTAGATGACAACGGTTTCTCATTCAAGAGTGACCAGTTCACTGGATTCTAACCAGTGGCTGCTGAGTTTGGCTCCTGAAAAACAGCGAATGCTAGCATACAACATTTGCTATAGCTATCAAGCTAATGAAGCTAAAGTTAGCTCCAATTAAAACCTTGCCTTGAAGGCTATAGTATTACCAACTTAGTGACTTTGTCGCTATATTTAGTGAGTTTTCAGACCCCATTAGCGACATTTTTTCTAAAAAGCAACTAGCAACAAATCTGGCGACTTTTGCTGGCGTTATTAGGAAGACTAATGACGATTTTTTGACGTGAAAGCACGTATCGATCTTACTCTCAACAAGCAGTGGGTGCTGCCGTGGGCACCGTGCCTTTGGCAGCAGGTAGTCCTCATACAGGAGTCACCCCCATCTGCTGTCAGAGCAGGACATGTTCACCCCTACACGTCCAAACTGCAAATGAATCACACATGAGCGAAGCCGCTGCTCTCGCCATGACTGTAATGCAGTCAGTTCTTCTTTAACTGTTACTTTTTGTGGATCACAAAACTACTTAAAAACACACACACAAAAGAAGTAACTCTGCCAGAGTCACTTTTGACTGGTCCCAAGCCTGGATAAAGGAGGAGGGTTGGATTTGGGACATTAAAAAAACAATAATTGCTAAAAGAAATTTAATTTGTAGTTCTAAATATATTCTAAATGTATTTAGGATGTTTTTTTTGTTTTTTTTTTTACTAATTTTATGTCTCTTCCACGATGTTATTTCTCTCTCCTATGGCTCAGTTACAATTACATGAGCATGACCAATTATGCAATTAGGCGATGATGTCATTTAGCGACTTCTAGCAACTTTTAGGACCACCAGTAGCAATTTTCCTTACTGAGGAGTTGGCAACACTGGCTATATGCCTATACTGTTTTCATGCCTAAAGACTTGTGGTTTTCAGAGGACTGGTCTGGTATATACTAGAAGTTATATAGTATTAATAAAGAAATATTAAAGGCCTTACTATTACATTCAAACCATTCTCACATCAAAAGACAAAAAGGCTTTAAGGATAAAGACTAACCAATGTGCTTGGTACGTTTAGCGGCTGGTGCTGTTCACTCAAATCCAATAAAGAGTGCAGGCTAGCTAATTAGCAACTATGAAATGCTAGCATCCACAATGTCAGAAATGCTGCATAAACACAATGCTGGTTTAGAATAGGACTGTCTAGTTAGCTAGTTAACCAGACATGCTAACAGTTATTAGAGTAAATACATTTTTTTGTTTGTTTGTTTTAGAAAAGCCCCAAACTGTGTAAAAAGTGCTTCTTAAGCTATACTTAAATGTGCTTATCAGTGAAAAATTCCTCTACTTATCTTATTTTTCCCTTTCCTCAAGAGTTCTCCTTCACTGAATCTCTCATTTTCTTCCTCCCTTTAGTCTATTTTTTTTTCACTTGTTTACCAGGTAAAGTGTCCATCTCAGCCAGTCTGAGACAAAAAGGTGATAAATGGGCAGAAGAGCAAGCGAGGGATAGGCAGTGGGCCGGCGCCGAATGAATGAGAGAGAGCAGAGCTGATGCCAAGAGGGAGAAGGCAGCTAACGGGAGCCTGAAAGTGGATATAATGAGAATCAGGGGAGAGGAAAGAAGAGCGAGGACGAGACTGGTGAAGGGTAGAAACAAGGAAGGGTGATGTGATATATGAGGAAAAGAGTATTGTGACAGAGGGATTGAAAGTGAGGGTGAAGTCATAAATGGGGGAGAATGTAGGTGGATAAAGGTGGCTGGGGACAGAGGAAGAAAAAAGAAAGGCCGATAAAGTAGGGAGAGGGTGAAAAATGGATGGCAGGGCGAGGCCTTGTCAGAATTGATTTTGATGAGAACGCAAAGCCCTGCTCTCTCTCAGCACGCGGCAGTATTTAAATCGTATATGTGCGTATACGTGCTCCTTTTTAGCAGCCATCTCAACCAGCGAGGCATTCAGACATTCACTCATTATCTCTAATAAGGATGCAACTCTGCTGAGTTCAGCTTCGCAGCATTTTTCTGTCGACTTTTTGAGGGAACTCAATTAGAGAGCATCGGTGTAAAGGGGCTGCTGTCCAATATATTTGTGCAGATAATACAATATAATTCAACAGGAAACTTTAAAATAAAAAGAAGCCTTTATCTTTAGCCAGATGATGTGTTTCGCTCCTTCTTCTGTATCCCTTGGAATAGTAACACTATGAAAATGTACACTGGATTTCTCATTTATTAATATTGTATCCACATCTGCTTAAAAGCTTAGGTAGCAAATTATGATTTCCCTTGACTTCAAATATAATCTCCATTTGTTTTTGCTTTTGAGAATTAGCTTCTTCTTATTTTACATATATATGTTTTTGTCTGCAAATCCCGAGAAAAGACTAAAACCAACAATCTGTTCGCTAATCTGCCCGCAGCGCTCACTTTTCATCCATCTGCTCCGACTGAAGACATAAACCTTTAGAACTGCCATAAACACATCTACTTTCTGTTTTTAAACATGGAACATCTGGGCAATTATGATTTTTTTTACCCACAAATGTTGCCTAATCAGGAATTAGCAGATTATATATTTTGGGGACTACTTTCAGCTGCTGTTAAGTACACACTGGTGGTAAATGGACTGGTACTTATATAGCAGTGGTCCCCAACCCCTGGGCCACGGACTGGTAATAGTCTGTGAGGCGTTTCGTAATGGGCCACGAGAGTTGAGGCTCAGGTGTGAAATTGATTGTTTTCAGGGTTTTTATCAGTTTTTATCGATATTTTTTATCGTTTTTATCATTAATTCGGTTTCCCTGGGTCTTTTCCAGTGTGTTATGAATAGGGTTATTCATACCCTACGCAAAAAAGGTTGGCGACTGCTATTAAATAGCGCTCTTTTAACTCTGACATCGGTTGTAACCGCAAGCCTCATTCACCCAGTGACTCTTTTTTCTAGATCTTGTTAGACAAGTCTTAGACAAGTGCCTTCATCTAACATTCACGCACACGATGGATGCATATTGCCCAATGTTACTTCAACACACAGACACAGGAATAAACCACCAACCTTCTGATTGGTAGATGACCCGCTCTACCTCCTGAGCCACACCCTCCCCAAAGCTAATTATAAAAGGCTATGGTTAGACATACTTTGTAGCAGGACTAATTGATTGTTGATTTTGGTCTTTTTTTAATGATTTTTTTTTACATGTTAATTAACTCCTTCCTGCATAAAATACCCTGCTGGAATCTTGAGTCGAGGCGGTTGGATCCACCCACTTATACTAGTGTGATACGATCAATACTTTGATTCCGTCATCTAAGTTCAATATGGAGCCCAATAACTTTTTTGGGAAATAAAAAAAAATACTTTAAACACACACTATGAAAAGTGTCTTCCCTTTTTTGTGTTGACTGTCATGTCTATTTTATTCATATCCTATAGCCCATTTTAACAGCAGAAGTTGACCCACGGTGCTTTAGAGACAGGCACATTTACACTCCAGATCTCCAAAAAATTCATTTTGAAAATACATGAAAAGCTGAAGGTTGTGTTTCGTTGTGTTAACTAATTATTACGGAAAGTAAAAATTATGATGATTTAGTGTTTAAAATTTGCAAATTAACGATTCATCTCATAAATCCTGACACACTGCTCTGCCCTACATAAGCTGCCTTCATAGGTCAAGAGTAGCAGTATTAGTATTGGTAATACCTGTTATGTATTAATTGGTATCGGATCAATACAAAAACTTAATCCTTCCGTTGTTGGGCCACATAAAACTGATTAGTTTGGTTGTTACATTAGACATGAATATGAATTTGAACTGTTCAACTGTCAAGAGTATTAAAGATAATGACACATGTTTAAGTTGTATTTTTAGTTATTGTAACAACTGAAAAATACACTTAGTAGCACATAGATTATATCACTATCCAGGTTTTCAGTCATCGTCAGTCAATCAAAGTGGTAACAAATTGGCTGCAACTGTGCACATGCATGGTTTTTCACGTTGTCCTGATCTTTTATCCCCAAATTAACAAGCTGGACTTAAGAGTCCCTTTAAGCGAGAAGGAAAACTCCTAAATCTAACCTTAAAAACAAATAACTGTGCGTTTTTTAATACTTCCGACCCAACAATATAATCATTCCATAATCAGGACTGGGATTGTAAGGGCTAAAACAATCACGACGGGAGAAGCACCAAACAGCAATGTGCTTATCATTGAGACATTGACACAGAGAGACAGGGAGAGAGATGAGCTGCTACACAGAGGGCTGTTATAAAGACAGAAAGGAGGTGATGCAGATGGACAGACATAGAAAAAGAGAAAGTCTTTAGCTTGTTTTGTTGTGTGCCGACTGGTTCCTGGACCAGCTATTCGTGTGTGGCAGTCTGCACTTCTGCCATCTCTGACCGATGATACAAACCTGAAGCTGACATTCATGTTTAATGATCCACTCCTGGGATTGGATGCCACCGATGTGGAGTAACTGGAACATACGGGTTAAGCAGTTCTCGTCAAGAAGAGCTTGACCGACAGCCATTTAATATCTCGTGTCTGCATCAGCCGCGATCCATTTTTGGGTTGCTACAAAAGTGAAAGGAGTTTTATCATCTGGTGTTTCCTCTTTCACTGTTTTGCAGCTTTTCATTTTGCAAGTTCACATTTGTGCCTGTTGTAGCTGCAGAGCTCTCCATTGTGTCAAGAAGAGTTTCTGTAATGGATTATCTGTTCTTGAGTATATTTTCTGAGAATGGCTTTCCGTTGGTTTCAGGATCTGAAAGAAACAGAGTCATTTTACTTAAACACCAAAAGGCTGAAGATTAGTCTGGATGATGTTTGTTTTGTGCCATTTTCAAAATGTACTTTCTTGTGTGGATAATTGCACTCAAAATTTGCTTTTTGCTCGCTTAGAATATGACCCAAGTCACCAATTAGTTAATGAGTTTATGGTCTTAATCACTAGTTTTGGATTTTGCTGAATAGAGCACGATCTTGTTTTTTTTAAATAACTGTCCCCATAACCACTAAAAAAGCAGGGTATGAGTTTAGAGTAAGCCTGTGTTTTTTACTGACAAGTCGCCAACTGATAAAAGTCCAGTATGGCCTTGTCTCTCAGTCAGACCACAGCAAAAGCGTGTCGATGGCTTCATAAAGCAGCCTTGCTTCTTAGTGATTGACAGTGATGGGAATAATAACAAGTAACGGTGTTACTAACGGCATTAATTTTATCAGTAACGAGTAATCGAACTAATTACTATTTCTATTGTTACAACGCTGTTACCGTTACTAACAAGAAAATGCGGTGCGGTCGCGTTACTATTTCCCAACAAACAGACGGCTGAAGCTGTGTTCAGCTTACCGCATCTTAAGTAGCTGTCTACGTAAGTAATCTGGGCGCAACAGCTTTAAGCAGCTCCGCGCGCTCCCGCGGACGGTAATCACTTTTTGGCACAACACCTGGAGCTAAAGGGGCAAAACAATCACATGAGTGCTGCTGTTTCGCTGAGGAAGAATAAAGTAGTCGTGGTAAGCCAATTACATGACCACTTAAAGACAAAGCAACAACAAACAGTTTTTAAATTGTGCTGATAAACCAGAGTCATGATAAACAATATATACGCAGGGTTTTTTCCTCAATAATTTCGTCACATTTACTGTTTAAGTACAGTGCTAACAAGCACTCTCTGCTTATGAGCAAAAAAACAAGAAACAAAACAAAACAAAAAACAGCCCATTCGTGTTGGTGGAACGGGCATGGTTCCTGATTGGCACCATGTTGACCAATCAAAAGATGATATGGTAACATGACATTTGGTTGTTTAGGAAGAGGTGGAAGTTTTAGGAGTGAGAGAGAGAGAGAGAGAGAGATAGAAAGCAGAAAAAGAGATTTGTAACGTTTAGCGTTTTTGTAGTGTGTAGTTAATGTGTTGTCTTGTGTAGTTAGTGTGTAGTGTTGTGGATAGTTTTGCGTTGTGTGTCACAACAATGACGCGACTGCTGAATGAAAACAAGAGGCGTGATACACCTGCTGCTGTCAGGCCTGCAAGTATCAGGCTGTGATGTTCTCCTTTATAGGGGACAGAGAAAATGAGTTTTTTGGAGTGGCACAAATAATTTGTGTGGCATCTTATTTAATGCAGAACAGCTGATTGTTATGTAAATAGTTTGAAATGGTTATTTAAAGAAGGGGTAAAGGGTAAATAGCTGCAAATAACTTTGTTGTTTGCAAAACTTCTCCACATGATTTTTAAAATTGACAATTTATATTTGCATTTAAAGTTATGAAAGGGTGGAGTGCCCACTCCGGGTCGGGGATGAGTTTCTGCCCCAAGTGGAGGAGTTCAAGTATCTCGGGGTCTTGTTCGCGAGTGATGGGAGAAGGGAGCCGGAGATCGACAGACGGATCAGGGCTGCAGCTGCAGTAATGCAGAGGATGAGGATGGATGGATGGAAGTTATGAAATATGATTCAATAAACATGTTTGTTGTTGTTACGATAGAACATATAACTTTTTCTACTCGGATTTTATGTTTTTTTTGTCTGATTTTAGAACAATTGTGTTAATACAGTATGTCAAAATGAAAACATGACTGTAAATTCAGACACGTGAGGTTGTGCTGAAAAGAATGATGCCAAGCAAGGCAAAGTAAATAGTTTTTAAAGGTGAAATGTGGAGGGAAAATCAAAAGTAGTTAAAAATGGCCAATTACACCCTGCACCCCAGAGGGTTACATTTTTTTCTAAAGTAACGCATTAGTTACTTTTCAAGTAATTGATTACTTTTAGAATCGTGCAACTCAGTTACTAACTCAGTTACTTTTTTGAAGAAGTAACTAGTAACTATAATTAATTACTTTTTCAAAGTAACTTGCCCAACATTGGTGATTGATGTCACTAGAGCCTGAAGGATATGGGATTTGCAAGACCGATAACAACACCAATATTTGGTGATTTTAAAAGCCCAATATTATTATATATTGGCTATTTTTTTCCTTTCAGACACATAAAACATAAACAACTTTTTAAAAAATTATAATGCGTTGTTCTATTTTTACTAATTTACGTCGTTCTTGACTCTGATCAGGTTAGTTGGTTGTTGTTTGTGGCTTTCCAAACAGCCGACAGGGAAGTTGCAGAGCTCCCTTTAGCGGACAAGCTATGCAACATCACTCATAAAATGATCAAAGGCTGTTTCTACTTTTCCGATTTTTTTTTAAAATGAACTTTTCTCTGATGCAAAAAGAATAAATTATTACATTTTTTACTGGACCTTCTCTTACCAAAGACCTGAAGACAAAGTGCTCTGCTATTGGAATTATTAGCTGAAAATGAGTTGCTGCACATCTGCCTTCATCTGATATGTTTTACCTTACCAAAGCAAGCAGCTGCAACAGATTCATATAACTAAAAAAAATGTAAGGTTACATTTTCCAGTATGTTTATAAACCACTCTATCTTATTCTTTGCTCATACTGAGGCTGATAGCTTGTGGCTAGCAAATTTTGAATAGCTTAGCTTTAGCTTTCACATTTTCTCTGTTTGCTCATTGAAAACGATCCATGTTCATCTGGGTAAAGGTGATTTTAAGTGTCTCTTTAGGTTTGTTGTTCCAAAGGTTTGTTTCAACTGATTGACCGTTCGCTAATATCAGCTTCCTGATAACTCAGTCAGGATCTACCTGCTGCAGTGACTACATCCATCTTTACATACCATCTACGCCCACAACCAAAATAAAACACAATGATACAATGACACATCAGCAAAGGGGATCAATAAATGGTCAGTCAAAGAGAAAACATTGATATCGTAACTTAATTAAGGTTGCTGCCTCAAAAAGACATAAATGCATCATAAAAACACAATAAGACGGGTATTTCTGAGGTATGTAATAATATATATAATAATATAATGTGTGTATGTGTTAGTCCCCATAGGGAAATAGTTCTTCTGCATTTAACCCATTCACCCAGTGAAGCAGTGGGCAGCCACCAATGCAGCGCCCGGGGAGCAGTGTGTAGGGACGGTACCTTGCTCAGGGGTACCTCGGGGTAGCCATTCAGTGGAGTTGAACCCCCGACCTTCCGATCATGGGGCCACCACTCTACCTACTGAGCTATCCCTGAGGTATGACGTACGATGGGATCGTTTGCAGATAATAGTAAAAAAAAATTCTAGTCTCTCACCTGTCCTGAGGTTTAAGGAGTTGGTTATTGCAGAAGGTGACGCAGGGCTGATCTTAGACATTGCTTCGCAGTAACCCCCCCTGCGGGTGCTCTGGGGTACTGCACTCTGAGGAGTTCTTGGCTTTGTCCTTGTTGTTGTTGGGCTCGTTATCCTTAATGATGTCATACTGACGACAAAACAGGGCGATCACACCTGAGAGACAAATGTACATCGTAATTTTCTGGTAAAATAATAGCAGTAACATTTATATGATTTTATACCTTACGTGTGTGTGTGTGTGTGTATATGTGTGTATATATATATATATATATATATATATATATATATATATATATATATATATATTAGTGCTGTCAATAGATTAAAAAAAATAACTAACTAATCTCACAATTTTCTGTTATTAATTGCGATTAATCTCAATTACTTTATTAATAGCCTGGCTCCAATTACATTTTTTCATTCTTTATATTTTAAGATTGAAACAGACATTTATGCAACACAATGAAGTAAATGCAGAATAAACACAAAGAATGTATGCTGAAATTCAAAGAGAATTTTAATGGTTTTCATCAATCTTTAACACAGTGAAAACTTACATAAAACCTTTAAGGCCATCAACAGTGACTGAACCCAGGCCTACAGGTTAAAGTGAATATCATAACAATAAAGGGTGCACAAAACTCAGTATTTAAAACACAAAAAGACACGGCTGAAAACCCAGAATGTTGAACATTTTTCACTTCAAAGGAGCAATCTGGATTAGTCCTTCTTTGCACTCAGCCAGTTACTGAGGCAGACTATTCTGTTTACATTGTCTGATGACAAAGAAGCACGCTTCTTTTGAATGATGTGACCTGAGAGTGAGAATAATCTCTCACAAGGCACTGTGGTTGCAGGGGTTGACAGGTACTTGCGTGCAATAGGTGCCAGCCTGGCATGTGCTCCTTCTCTCTTTAACCACCACTGTAGTGGACACTCTCCTATGTCAATTTTGGGCTCTGCTTTGTACAGATTCAGACAGCAGTCTATAGCATCTTCCTCTTCCTCTGTATCTGAATCAGGAGAACCCAGCAAGCAGATGGACATCTTGCTCTTCTTTGGTGAGGGTTCCTCTGTTGTCTGAGCAGATGGTTGGTGTGCATCCGTCTCTGACATCAGAAGGTCATGTACTGATGCCCACACCTCTCTTCTTTCATCTTTGGAAAGGCATTTAAGGTCTTTAAACCTGGGATCAAGGGCAGTAGCGATCTTCAGCCATGTGAGATTGCTGCTGTCCCTCCGCTGAGCTAGGTCTGTGGTAAAAATCTTCTTAAACCTCAAAACGTAGACTGGGTCATCATCTGAGGGCTCCATAATCCTGAACAAATGACACAAGGCTGGCAACACCATGGAACAAGAGACATACCGCTCTCCTCCCAGCAGTTCGGTAACATATCTGCAATAGAAAGATCAAGTCTGTATTTTTCTATTAATCACACAGAGACAAACATAAATACCACATATGAAAATACACAGAGAGGTGGAGGTGGAGAACATACTTGAAAACAAAGCTAGAATGCAAAGATAGACACACAATCATGAGAAACAAAATGATTTACCTGCAAGGTTCCAGTAGTTCCTCCAGCTTTTGCAGTCTGTCAAGCTCCTGGTCAGTCAACATAGTCACCTTGCTGTTTTGTTGAGTCAGGATGGTGGTCAGCCCAAATTTGTTTCTCTGGATCCGCTTGATCATCTCTAGGGTGGAGTTCCATCTTGTTGGAACGTCCTGAACAAGCGGTTCTGTTTGATGTCCATGTGCAGCTTGCTGTGCCTTTAATTCCTGAGCGTTTGCTGGACTATGCTTAAAATGTCCAACAATCTTGCGACATTTGGCCAGAGCCCTTTCAAATGCGCTGTCATTAAGAGAAACTGTGACCGTTCTTTGCAGAATGTGGGCCATGCAGGGCATGTGTTCAAATGGAAGTAGTCTGGCGGCTGCAACCATGTTACGAGCACTGTCGGTGCCAAGCGTGGTTACCTTGTCCTTGATTTTCCATTCGTTTGCAACATTCAGAAAATGGTCAGCACACGCCTCAGCATAGTGTCTCTCTTCAGTTTTACTCACTGTTAGTGCAAACGATTGCATAGTCCAGTCGTTATCAATAAAATGCGCCATGACCCCCAAGTAATTATCGTTGTTCACCGAAGTCCAGTGGTCTCCGGTGAGAGCGACATTCCTTACTTGCACAAGCTTGCTGGACTGCTGAGCCCTCTGGTCCCCATACAAAGTGTGCAGTCTCGACACAATGGTTCCTCTCGAGGGCAGATTGTAACACACATCTCCTGATGCAGCACGAATGACTTCTCTCAGTCCATCATCTTCTACTATGCTAACTGGTCGGCAGTTTTTAGCTATCCAAACAACCAAGGAATTGGTTACCTTTTCTCTCACATTTTTTGTTATTCGTCCACAAGCACCATACTCCTGAAGCGTAGACTGGCGAGGTCCCGTAGAGGTGGATTCAGTTGGGTGTTTTGCTCTCAGGTGATACGCCAGTGATGAACTGCTTCTGTGGTACTTGAATTCAGCTTTGCAAATTGTGCATATTACTCTCGTTTTGTCCAACAAGCCATCAGGCAACTTCTTAAAGAGAAACTTTCCACCCAAAAGTCCGCCCTCGTCCATGCTTGCGTGTGTTAGCTAGTGTTAGCTAGATAGTAGCATGGTGTCACTTCTTCTTCTAATCATTTCTGTCAGGCCAAACGCCAGCATAGCACACTGTTGCCCCCTCCTCCAGAGGTGCTCATGAATTTAAAGGTCTTAGATTACAGGAAATTAATAAAAAAACAAAATCAGCGTTAAATTTTTTTAATGCATTAAACATTTCGCGTTGATCTTAACAATTAATGCGATAATTTTGACAGCACTAATATATATATATATTTAGTATCTATACATAACCAAATCTAATTTTTCATACACTTAACAAAGTTTATGAACGTAGTTAAATATAACCCAAATTTGGAGGGAGAAAAACCCAAAACATTAGCAACAAGAGAAAGCAAAACTGGATCTGGATGAAAGGAGGAGATGCTGTGGGACTGAGGGAGATCACTTTACACATTTTGTTTGCCAAAAATTATTGAGTGGCAGTGCGATCTCATAATTCAAATCATATTTTTATAATAAAAAAACCCCCCACTGCTGCTTTATATGGATGCCACAAAGTCTTAGGCAGGTGGGTGCATGTAAAATCATAACTCCATGAAGTTCTCTGCCTTTTCCATAAGAGGTTTAAAATGCACTGCAATGAAATGTTCTGCATACTTAGGGGAGCGTCCCATGGGTCTGCTATACTTTAGTGGCAGAAGACGCTAATAACAGCACTAGGAAGCTGTAGGCTACGGCGCCTCTCGTGCTTACCACATTCAGAGAGGCATGAACACCAGGCAATCATTTCTAAATGTGAATCTGGATGTTAACCAGAAAGGTGCAAAGAGCAGAAAAAAATACATTACTCTGTGTGTTGCCTGATTTCTTGTCCAAGAACATCCTCCTTCCAATCAATCCAGCATGGTATTATTTCATGCTTTTCCACACTTGCTTCTCGCCATAATAGATGAAATTAATCTGAAAGAGCTACAGCTTTTTATTTTTATTTTTTAAATGAGCACATTCCCTTGTATTACTCTTGACTCCTGTTTCTGCTGTAGATACATTAAGAGCCTTATTCTTGTTATATGGCAAACACAGCTCCACTGGCTAATGCTGAGAAAAACTTCAGTGCTACAATTCATATTGGGTCATTTAATATTATCCCTGATGATAAAGACTGCGAAAGGGTGTCAGACGTCAGCCCAGCAAAGACTCCAATCTGGCCCACTGGACAGCTTTAGAAAATGTGACGGAGAGTGTAAATGTTGGACTTTTAAAATGTATTTTAATACGTTTAGTGCTTTTCCTACTGATAAAGACCATTCATACTACACCAAAGTAATTAAGTAACAGATAAATAGTTATAAGACAGAAAAAGTCTTGTTTTAGTCACTCAGTTAGACATTGATCACCTCTTGTAAAACAGTTTGTTAGAAACTTTGCTGACAAGCTGATAAAATAGCCCGATTTAAACCAAAACGTGAAAACATGAAAATATTTTTCTTTCAGCAGCTGCAAGATATGATACATGCTACTGATGTGTCAATAAAGCCATTCAAATGGGGCTGAGAGAAACAGAGACACAGGCAGCGTGAAATGAGCAGATGGTGATATGAAAGTGATGTTGAGATAGCCACATGGAGCTTGCCTTCAAGTCAGGGAGATTAAAAACATGGCAGAGGAGTTACAGATGCGACGGCAGATAGCGAACAAGCGCGGAGAAAAGGAGAAAGGGAATAATTCATGAAGGTGGGGGAGCACGTGGAGGGTGCAATCCAGGCCTGAATGGGCTCCAGCCTCAGTGGTTCTGCTTATGTCAGCCTCCGCTCATCTGATCACTGCAATACCAAAGAGTGAGATGGGATATCTTGCTGTGATATCCCCCAAGCATTCCCCACACGCCCAATTAAAAAGTGAAAAACATAATTCGCCTCCTTCACTTTCAGTTTTTTTTCACTATGCCCTCGTTTTTTCTTTTTTTCCTCTTTTCTCAAAACTCGATTGACTCAGTTTTTCTCTCTTTTCTATCTCCCAACTGTCTTTGAATCCACGTCTCATGTCCTCTCACGGCTAATAGGCAGTGGAGATCCAGGTCTCCTGCAGAGTACTGTGTGTACTGTATATACCTTATACAGTATTTGGGCCATATTTGTATATCATTGCACTTGGTGAAGTGGGTTAGGAAGCGATATTTATAGCTGCATGTGTGAAACAGTGTTGAGACGCATCATACAACTAATAACTAGAAGAAGAAGTAACAATTCTTGTATGTGGATGTGTAATTTAGTCTACTTTTTCCACAGCAAAGCACTTAACCTTGAGTGAAAAAGTGAACTGTGATATAAAATTCATTTCAATGTAAAGTCCTCTGTTATTGAGCAACAGCTCGCTATAAAGAATGAGTCAGAGTTTCTGCAGCTGGTAGGAAGTACAACTGACTATGGTCGTATATGTCAGCGGTCCACAACCTTTTTTGGTCCATGGACCAGTTTGATGTCAGATATATTTTCACGGACCGGTGTTGCGGATAAATACAACTAAATAAAATGATATGACCGAGACAAAAACTGTGGTATTTTGTAAATATAATAATAAACACAAATTCACTGTGTAATTGTGTAACTTTATTAGCAGCGTCCTCCTGAAATGCACCAACAATATTGAGAGTAACATCCTCCTCTCTGCCCCTTAATGCGCTCTGGTTGCTATGGTAACGCGTAAATATTTCTTTCAATATAAGACGCACAATTACAACACAGGAAAAGAACCAGGGAAACCGAGTTAACGATGAAAAACCCTGAAAACCATAAATTTCACACTCGAGCCTCAACTCTCACAGACCAGTACGGTCCGTGGCCCAGAGGTTGGGGACCGCTGGTTTATGGGACTGTGTGGGTAATCCCCAGAGGATGAATCTTTGCCCCTTTAACAGACAGATACATTACACTAGTTTATGTAACTCTGCTCAATAGTGATAACAGGATGAGTTTTATTTATATATTTATTTTTTGGTTCTGACACTGAGTGGAGAGTTGCACACAGATTACAGATTGTTTGCAGAAGACAGATATTCAAATCCATTCAATTCATACAGTGCTGAATGGCAACAGCTGTCACCTCAAAGCACTTTTTTAATGTAAGATAAAGATCCTACAAATATTAAAGAGGAAACCCCCAACAATCAGATGATCCCCATATGAGAAAGCACTCTGTGACAGTGAGAAGGAAAAACTCCCTTTTAACAGGAAGAAACCCCAGTAGTGACCAGTGGGGTGAGGGGGAAAATGCACACATGCAAGAGAGCCAGAGATGAAAATGAATTAAAATGAGTGATAAAAACACCAGGAAAGTAAAAAAGAGTGAATAAGAAATACTCAATGCATCATGGGAATGCCTAGCAGACTAAGCCTGCAGGGATCATAAGTAAGCTTGCAGTCTGAGAGTAAAGAGAAGAAAGATGTCAGCTGTGTAATTTCCTGTTGAGGTTATGATCTGAGTTGCTCTACCTAACTACAACCGGCTATTCCAGAGTTTCCAGAGTCAAACTAGCAACACATTGATGTTTTTAGTCATTATTATTATTTCCCTTATCTTTCCAATGGCTCACCGCAGCAGACTGATCCAGATGTTTGATTTGACAGGGCTTTATGGAGGATATCCTTCCTGACGCAACCCTCGTACTCATGGTTCCAAGATGAACCTTTCTTAAGGTTTAGTTGACAAACAGAATTTTCCTTCTCACATGATGATTTCAACTGATTTCAAGCAAACTGTCTCACCGTCACAATGTCAAAGATCTTTTGACATGTAATCTAGCAGAACCATCAGTGCTTTACATTTAGCATTTAGCATAGAAGCAAGGTCAAAACAAAATGGAGAAAATGGTAAATATGGTAGAATCCTAATGTTAGCATTTAGCTTGAAGCAGCATTAAGGTTAGCATCATCACAGAGCTGCTAGCAGGGCTGTAAGTTTAGTCTTGTTACTGGACAATGTTTTACAGACGGGTGGTTATAGATTGCTAGAAATCAATCCCTGACTCCTACAGTCCTCGTGCCAACGTATCCAGTAATAAATCCTGACACACACCATTGTATCCACTGGAATACAGTGACTGGTTGGGGAGACCGGTCTCTCCACAGTAGTGATGTGTCGGTTGCAAACGAAACGGCTCTTAGAGCCGACTCTTTGAAGAGAACGACGTGAGCCGACTCCTTATTGGCTCCTTTCTCTCACCCTCTCTCTCGCACTTTCGCACTCTCTTCACTCTGCACGCGAGCCTTGTGCTTTGCTTTCAAAACACGTAAAAACTCCAAAACACGTAAAAGCTTTTGTTACCTAGTGGCTACACAAGCCAGGAAGTACCAACGACCGGATTTGGTGTGTGGTAGTAACAGGTAAATGAACATTTTTTTGAATTATTTGAATATATATATGAGTGCTTGTGTATAAATACACAAACAATACACATATGCTTTCAATTGTGTAATTTAAGTGATCTAGGTAGCTCTGTTTTGGAAGTTCAGTTAACGCTAGAAATGTGTTTTGGAGTTTGTACGTGCTTTGTCTCAAGGGGCCACCACATATATTTATATATAAACATATATACACTCAACAAAAATATAAACGCAACACCTTTGTTACTGCTCCCATTCCCCATGGGATGGACGTAGAGACCTAAAATTCATTCCAGATACACAATATAACCATCCCTCCCAAACAGTGGTCACAAATCAGTCCAAATGTGTGGTAGTGGGCACATCTGCTATATTGAGATAATCCATCCCACCTCACAGGTGTGCCACATCAGGATGCTGATCTGACATCATGAGTAGTGCACAGGTGTACCTCAGACTGCCCACAACAAAAGGCCACCCTGGAATGTGCAGTTTTGTCTCACAGCAAAATGCCACAGATGCCACAAGCAATGAGGGAGCGTGCAATTGGCATCTGTCGCCCGTGCATTGAATGTTCATTTCTCAACCACAAGCCGTCACCACAGGCGTTTCAGAGAATATGGCAGCACATCCAACCGGCCTCACAACCGCAGACCTCGTGTAACCACACCAGCCCAGGACCTCCACCTCCAGCAGGTTCACCTCCAAGATCGTCTGAGACCAGCCACCCAGACAGCTGCTGGAACAATTGGTTTGCACAACCAAACAATTTCTGCACAAACTGTCAGAAACCGTCTCAGGGACGCTCAACTGCATGCCCGTCGTCCTCATCGGGGTCTTGACCTGACTCCAGCTCGTCGCCGTAACAGACTTGTGTGGGCAAATGCTCACATTCGATGGCGTCTGGCACGTTGGAGAGGTGTGCGCTTCACGGATGAATCATGGTTCACATTGTTCAGGGCAGATGGCAGCTGAGAATGTCCCAGTTCTTGCATGGCCAGCATACTCACCGGACATGTCACCCATTGAGCATGTTCGGGATGTGCTTGACCGGCGTATACGACAGCGTGTACCAGTTCCCACGAATATCCAACAACCTCGCACAGCCATTGAAGTGGAGTGGACCAACATTCCACAGGCCACAATTGACAATCTGATAGACTCCATGCGACGATGTGTTGTACTGCATGAGGCAAATGGTGGTCACACCAGATACTGACCGGTTCTGGGTCCCCAGACCCCCAATAGCGCAAAAAACTGCACATTCCAGGGTGGCCTTTTGTTGTGGGCAGTCTGAGGTACACCTGTGCACTACTCATGATGTCAGATCAGCATCCTGATGTGGCACACCTGTGAGGTGGGATGGATTATCTCAATATAGCAGATGTGCCCACTACCACACATTTGGACTGATTTGTGACCACTGTTTGGGAGGGATAGTTATATTGTGTATCTGGAATGAATTTTAGGTCTCTACGTCCATCCCATGGGGAATGGGAGCAGTAACAAAGGTGTTGCGTTTATATTTTTGTTGAGTGTAAATAAAACCACATTTTTTGCATTAGTAATTCCTTTTGTGTATAATTTTATATTGTCGTTAATAATAAATTAATTAAAACAACAAAACAACCTGAAGAGCAGGTTGGGAGCCAAAAGAGTCGGCTCTTTTTAGTGAGCAGAGCCGAAAGAGCCGATTCTCTAAAAAGAGCCGGAAATCCCATCACTACTCCCCAGTGGTTGCAGCAGATGGCCCCGCCCCTCCCTGAGCCTGGTTTTGCCGGATGTTTCTTCCTGCTAAAAGGAAGTTTTTCTTTCCCACTATCGCCAATGTGCTTGCTCATAGGGGGTCATATGCTTGTTGGGTTTTTCTCTGTATCTATTATCGTAGGGTCTACTGTACAATATAAAGCACCTTGAGGTGGCTGTTGTTGTGATTTGGCGCTGTATAAATAAAATTGAATTGAATTGAATGTGTGTGAATTTGTGTTTAAATGATTGAGACTTGTAATAAGAAACACTTACTGAATAGAAAGGTACCATAAATAAGTACCGTCCATCTTACGTGCATTATCCATGTCATGGGAATATTAAGGAAGCAGTCAGGTTTGATAATAACAGGAGACTTGCTATGTACCAGCACCATTTATAACATAATAAAGGAAGTATGTATGTTGCTTTACATAAACACATCTTCGATACGCATTTTCCTATAAGAGCTGCTTGTCTGCTGATAAGCCTTTAGCTTATTTTTTGCAGTTGTTTCCTGTTGATGAGTTTATCAAACTGAGACTTGGATTTGATGCGTTGCCGCCCAAATTCACACTAGCTATCTTTACATCATCTCGAAGGCCCTGCAGGCGTCTGGCACTCATTACAGAGGGATGATACCGCAGCCACTGTTTCTCTTAACAGGAACATTTGCCCAAAGACAGTGGATTCCTACGAGGTCCGTGGTGACAAATGTGCATCACTGAACAGAAATATTACCTGCCCACATGACGAGCACCACTACGATGATGATGAGTTCTCCCGCCCTCAGCTGGGCAGCATCGCCGACCTCCTCCATCGTCACCTCGTCTGGAGAGAGAACACAGAAACGTGAGCACAGTCAACAGAGCGTCGGTGAGGATGCTGCGATTCATCGTCCCACATACTCTGAAAATCTGCAGGGAAAGATAAAAGAATCAAGCAGGGTGACAAGAGAGCAGAGAGGCTGACTGGTGTAAATTCCCCACTCTGGTCAGTGTAATTAAAGCTAAGTGAGAGCAGAGGTCCGCAGAGACAGAGTAAGCAGGATCCCTACCCCATCACTCACTGTGTTCCTCTTGCTGACAGCACTCTGGCAGCCGCAGCTTAAAACCAATCAGTGGGTTAAAGGTTTGAACACAGTTTGGACTACAACCGCTTCCTCCCTGCTGCCAACACAAGGCCTTATGCTACCTCCCATATACCCTTAGTCAAGCAGCCTTCCTTCCTCCACCTTCTTCCCCAGCCTGCTTCCCCTGGGTCAGTCTGTTATCTAAAGGGTAAAAAACATGAAAAAAAACTGAATAAAGACATCACTGTCAATACTTTGTCTGGGCTTGCATCCTAAGTTGATGTGCATATCCCCAAAGGAAGTGCTGACCACACACTGGTTGAAGGGGGCTGATCTTAAAGGTGTACAGTACTCTTTATGGAGCTGACAGCAAAGAAAACCTCGGTGCAATAAAACCAAATGGACCAGCCGTTGCTGACAATACAAGACACTGATATGTTTGATTTCTATTACACTTTGAAGTGATAAAATGTGACAGAACCAGCAATTCATCAAACAGGCTACCATCTGAACGTGTTTAAGGACGAGCATCACTTTTATTGCAATTTAGTTATTTACTGGGAAGTCTTCGATTTGCTCACAGCTGTCCGCTATTTTTTTTTTAAATTTCAAACTATGACAGGTAAGTGCAGCTGTGGCCTCTAAGGAAGGGGTGCGTTTCATCCCCACTTGTGGTCTCAGGTCACCGTTTTGCCGTTTGGAGTCGGGGATGATGATTTTGACACTTCTGTGTTCTGGCTTGCTCAAAACTCTGCTGTTTCCATGGTGATCCCTCTAAGCTCAAACTAAGTCCCTAGGGTTGCGCAGAGGAAAGGTTATACTCTAATAAGTTGCTAGGAGCAGATTATATGTTTATGTTGCGAGGGCAGACCCAAAGCTACGAGGAGAGGTGTGGAGATATCAGCCAACAGACGAGCTGAACACTCGGCAGCCTTGAGGTTGCTCCCTTGGCAAGTGTTGGTAACATTAGCATCAGCCATCGAGCCCCTTGAGACATGAAGAGTCAGGCGTAAGCTCTCTACTTCAGATTAATGGCTACAGGAAATACCTGCTAATTAATGGTATGTAGCATACAAATGAATACAGCTTCACTCAGCACAACTAGAACTTTGACTTCTTAGAAAGGCTGTTAGTACAGTTAAGTACACAAAAAGTATTATCAAAGTACTCAAAATATGACATTATTTAAGAATTTTGCAATATGCTGAGTATTGCAATTTATCATGTTTTTCAGCTGCAAATTATGTAAATGAAGTCAAACTTTTTCAGTTTCTGTTTTATCCAATAAGATAAAGTTATTTCATTTCAGTTTTTTCTTCTACTAAAACCTGCCAAATGCTGTTATAAGTCAGTCAGATATCAGTCTGTGACTGAGTGGGAACATTTTTTAATTTTGATCCACTGCTGAATTTGTAAGTTTGCTCAATTACAAAAAAAACAGTCTCTACATTTTTACAAAAGTTTAAATCTAATGGAGAGAGACAGAATATCAACCAATAATCTGTGAAAACCCCCCCACTTCACATAAATGTTATGGATTGATTTTAACATCAATGAGTGAAGTCAGTCCCTACAACCTCATTCGGATTCTGTGTTGGATGGTTTTGCAGGTGAGCAGATTTAATTCAAGTTTGCTCGGCTAACATTATCTCAGAATGCTGGTGAATGAGATGAGCCTTCTTGTTCATAGTGTTCCCAGAATATTTGAATTACCTAATAAAATACTGATATTTAGTTTTCTGTAGTGATACAATATCACCAAACAAACTATCGCCATACTGTGCTGTATCAATATCTCCCCCTACCCCTAATAGAAAGCCACATTATTTTTTAGATGGTTAAAAGAAGTTGCATATTTTTCCAAAAGGCAGGAATGCTCCTCGCAGCCTGAGTTAGCTTGGCCACGCCCATGAAAATGCAGTTCTTAGGCCCTAAACAAATGAGCTATGAAAACCCAAACTGGTTTTTATACCAGTATGTAAACATGTTTGTTTCTGCAGGTTATTTTAATAAGAGAGCCTTTAGCTATCAATCTGTTTTGGGAGCTAGCCTCAACTGAGCATTCAAGGAAATGCAGTTTGTGGAATTTCTGCATTAGCTTAATGCCGTTGTATGTAGGATCAAAATATTCAAAGAAAATACAGAATGTAGCGTTCATGTGAAACTACATATTCTGGCTGCATTAAGAGAAAAAAAATATTATTGATCATTTTGTCAAGTCAAAACTTCAAAATTCTATTTTGAGGCAAAAGTCCAAACCTGCTGCAGTTTAAATGGGAAGGCACTGGTTTTAGTGGGAAGCTTCCAGACTGCATGAATGAGTGCAGCTGTGTTACAGAGCAATCTGCTGCTGCAGAGCAACATGGTGCTCAGCACAATTTCAGAGATAAATTAAATGTAAAAACAGTTCTGACAGTAATCAGACTGCTGAAAAAGATTTATTTACTAAACCTTTGGCTTTTTCAGCAGCCTATAAAATGTAATAAACAACATAAAAAGAACACATTACAATTACATTTTAGGTTCTACCTTACAATATAAAGAACCTTGAGGTGGTGGTTGTTGTGATTCGACGCTGTATAAATAACACTGAAATGAACTGAAATTGAAAAGTTAAATTGAATTAAAAGATTTTGCTACATAAAAAATGTCAGTGCATTCAAAACTTCCACGAGAGAAGAAGAAGAACAGAGAGAAACCCAAGCAGGCTTCCTGTTGTGTTGCTTTGCACCTACAGATACTAAATCCTGTCAGGCTGATTAATACCCGCTTAGAAGGGGAGCAGAGCAGTAATGGCTGGGAGATTTAATCAGGGCAGCTAATGAACGCTTCCACCAACACACACACATGCAGGACACTATAGGCAGACAAGAAACTTCCATCAAAGTCAAAGCCCCTAAACATCAAGACAAACTTTCGTGCTACACATCGCCACACATGACCTCACGTACACTGAAACATAACAAAAATGTTCATCGCCATTAAGATTTGTAACCTCGATTTTTTAACAAGGCTGAAGACATTAGCCGTAGCCATTCTGAGAAATCCCTAAATTTAGTCCATAATCTTTGTCACTATGACCAACAATTAAAACTCTATTCAAAACAGTAATTGTCCAAAGAGGGTTTACCAACCTTAACCTTTTGATTATCAGATTGTTTTGCCAAGCTTTGAGTGTCTCTTTATGCTAAAACGGCGTGAAATCAGTTAGATTATGAAAATTTTAGTTTAGATCTTTTTTCTTTTCTTTTAATTATGTACTTATTTAAGCTAAGTGCCAGACTTTAGTAATAAAACGAGGCCCAACACAGTGCAAAAAAATGCAGTTCCTTGGATGGCCACTTGTGGCAGACTCTAAAAGCAAGCCAATTTCTCTTGAACTTAAAAACCAAAATAAGCATTTTATCAGCCAAGTATAAAACATTGTTTCAGTTTCTTTGGGTAATTTTCTCTTCAAGGCAACGGCACAGGGTATAAAACTTTATTAGGCTTAAGGCTCAAATTTATGCATTAGTAGGGCCACGCGTGCTTTGAGTGACAGGTCAGCTAATTCAAGAGAATTCAAAGTATTTTTAATATGACTAATAACATGTCTTGGTTAACTTTACTAACAGATCATCCAAGACGTCTGTGGACCACTTTTAGTGACTGAAATTTTTGCATTTTTTCTCTATTTTTATGTATTCATATGTTAACAATAGAGCTGGGCGATAGAACGATAACGATATGTATCGCGATATAACTTTTTCTCGATAGAAAAATTTAACTATTGCGATAGACCTCGCCGCTCTTGTCCTCTTAAAGAAAAGAAAAAAAGAACAGCCAATCCAAATTAAGTAGCGCAGAGCCGAACCAATCACAGCCGCAGCGTCACGTCACGTGACTTGTTACGTACAGCACAAGTGCCAAGCCGCACATGTGTATTTGTTTGGGAAGCAGCCAGCCACCGTACCGCCCGGGTAATGGAGGAAATGAGTGTGCCGACTAGAAAAATCAACCGAGTGTGACCGAAGGTTACCGAAGAGAAAACAGATGATGGTTCCAATGCCGGAGAGATTGTCGAACTGAAGAGCCATAGAAGTTCCGTAGTGTGAAGGTATTTCGGCTATTTCAAGTCTGACAAAAAACAGAGTAGCGCGCACTGTAAATTGTGCCGAAAGCAAGTCTGGAAATACAATAAACTGGTGCATGCGCTACGTCCACACGTACCCGGGTATTTTTGAAAACGCAGAGTTTTCTATGCGTTTGCACCTTTCGTCCACACGTAAACGCCGTTTTTGGTCACTGAAAACGAAGATTTTTAAAAACTCCGGCCAGGGTGGATATTTTTGAAAACTCCGTTTTTGCATTTACGTGTGGACTAGAAAAACGGAGAAAACGCAGCGTCAAAGCTGTGCGCATTTTTTGACGTCACACTGTGCACCACGTTATTGTTTCGGTGAAATGAATTTCTACAATACTGTTACCGTTAATTCTACTCTCTGCAGTGTTTAAATGCTTACATATACACACAGTTACTGTCCCTCCACACATACGACTCGGTTCAGGGCAGGGATAGCTCAGTAGGTAGAGTGGTGGCCCCATGATCGGAAGGTCGGGGGTTCGATTCCCCTGAACAACTACCCTGAGGTACCCCTGAGCAAGGTACCGTCCCTACACACTGCTCCCCGGGCGCCCAGTGGCTGCCCACTGCTTCACTGAGTGAATGGGTTAAATGCAGAGAGGGATTTTCCCCACGGGGACCAATAAAGTACACTTTCTTTCTTTCTGCTTCTATGCCCCAGCTTTGTTTACTTTTTCCCACCGAGGCTTCTAGACTTCTGATTGGCCAACATTTCTACACGGTTAGGAATCTAGCGCCACCTGCTACTTTGTCATGTTCATAGCAGCGTTTTCCTTCATTTCTGCCTTTATGTGTGGACGGGATTATTTTTTAAAACGAAAACGGAAAATCTCCGTTTTCAAAAATACCCGTGTACGTGTGGACGTAGCCTCGGTCTCTGACTGGAAGCGCTAATTCGTCATTAGGCTTTTGTCAGACTAAAGTAACTGTTAAAACTGTTTGAAAAGCTAAGCTATACAACAAGGAGAGATTGAGAATTTCCTTTTAGTTCTCAGTTTATTTGATATTGACAAAAGTTAGTCAATTTTGTCTGTTCTTCTGTAAAACAAACTAAGATTTATTTTTAGAATTAATATTTTGTTTCTAAGTGGAATTGACAATTTAGTCTGTTTCGTTTGTTCTATTTTGAAACTTAAACGCTTTAGCGGCTGCCTTTTGTGTAGTTTGCAATATTTGCCTTTATTTATCTGAAAAAGTCTCATGTTCCTTAGTACATCTACCCTGTTGAACTTATTATGGGAAATAAATATTTAAATAAAAACAAGCTGCTGATTATTTCACATTTTACTTGTGAGCAACGGCACATTTAAATCTTACAAATATAGTTATTTGGCTTATATCGTGATAGATATAGTTATCGCCTGAAATGAAAAAAACATATCGTGATATGAAAAAATCTTATATCGCCCAGCTGTAGTTAACAAGAGTTAGCGAATATCTAATCACAGGACACTTTGCTCGTTAGATATTGTTACCTAATAACTAACTAAGGCTGCACAGCCTGTCTTTAAACTTTGGTCACTTGCAGCTCAAAAAAAGGCCAAGAATTCAAAAATGACTTGAGTCTAAAAAAGAAAGAGTCCATACACCAATGGGTGATGTTACGATGTCCATCTTTTATATACAGGATATTATTAATGTCAGGGTCCTGGGTCTCCTGACCCAGCGTTTTAGTTCTTTGTGATTTTTGTATTATTGTACTTGGTGTGAGTTATTCTATGGTTTCTAGTTTCGATCCCTTGCCCTTCTCGTTTCTCTGTGTCCCCTCTGTTCTGTGTAAGTCTGTGTCTGCATGTTTGAGTTCCCCTCTGTGTCTCTCGGTTCTTAGAGTCCTCTGCCTTATGGTTTATGTCTCTGTGTTTCTTAGTTGCTGTCTCCACTGTGTCAAGTTCGCGTCTCTGTGTGATCCTTCCTGTTTTACTTTGAAGGTCCGTGTCTTATGTGAATGTGTCCTGATTTGCTTGTCTCGTCAGTTCTAATTTCCCCCAGCTGTGCTCTCCTTCTGTGTCTCATTCTCCTCGTTACTTCCCAGTGTATTTAGTCCCTGTGTTTCTCTGAGTCAGTGTTGCGTCGTACCCTCAACAAGCTGTGTGTTTTGCCTCCGTGTTGCCAGTGTTTTGTCTCCAGCTCCAGTTCAGTGTTTCTGATACAGTGTTTTAGTCCACCAGCGTTTTTGTTTGTCTTTTGGTGAGTTTAGTTTAGTAAGAGGTTTTCCCAGCAATAAAGCTGCGCTTTAAGTTGTACTTCTGTGTCTGAGTCCTGCATTTTGGATCCACCACTCCTGCTTGCCTGCCTGCCACACAGCTAACCATGACAATTAACTCATTCACTGCCATTGACGTCTATAGACATCAATTACGTTTTTCAATGGGAGGGGCTAGAATACAACCTCGGGCAGCTTGTCAGTGAACATCAGACTGCTTGAAATGTATTTTTCACAAAAAGCTCGTTTTCTCCCTTTTTGTGGTCAAAACAGGCATTTTTGGTGGAACCCACCTCTCTTCTACAGCTGATTACTAAAGAATGGAAAATGGTAGAAACAAGCTTTTTTTTTTTTGGATGGAAGAAGAGAGTCTGTTCTTCATTTTGGTAGGTTCAGCGTTTATATGATCATAACACACAGTTTTCTGTGGCTCTTCAAAAATGAGTAAAAATGCTCAAAAACCCTGGCAGTGAATGAGTTAAATAGCCAAAAGTATCATTTCCATATCATTTAAGTGCAACGTCATGTGATAAAAATAACTTTTTGTTTATTCAGGGACATGCAGTTGCTCATGAAGTCCATAAAGTATGTGAGACCCTTTTTTGCATGAGTCTCGATTTAAAATGAAGTCAGCTGGAAGCATTATATAGTCAGCTGGACGCGGCCAGCTCACACAGCTTAACTTAATTACCTGCCTAGCTACAGGGGACAAAATCCGCCCACAGAAAATGGGTGGTCGCAGAGCTGATAAATCTGCCCACGTCTACCCACATGCATATCTTGAAATTAAGAACCTACTGTGTCATCAATCACCAAGAATTTCAAGTTTGCCCCTGTTGCTGCCGTTAAACAGCAAGAAATTAAATGTTAACAGTCATATAACAATCAGCTGGCTTAAAAATGACTCTTTGTCTGCGCTAGTGAAAAATGTACTAATATGTTGCTTTTTTACTGCTTACATAAGTTCAGATAGATTTCTCTTTGATTTTTTATACTCTAGACCACTTATCAACACATTCCTGCCTCACAAGACCCTCAGCAAGCTCCCTCACTGTGATGTTTCCAGGGAATCCACCGCTCCCTAATGTCTCCTGTTTCCACTCTTATCACTTTGCTGCTGATGAGCATTTAGCATTCGCCGTGTCCCTCTGAAGCAGCTGCTTTTGGCACAGTAACTGGGTCGGACATGATAAAATTGGAAGCAGTGCAAGGCGCTTCTGATAACAGCAGCCTCTGTGCTTGAGAGTGAGAACAATGCATCGAATAGGAGGTGGGAGGGACTCTAGCAAAGATGGCAATTCCTGTGTTTTGTTGGATTTAACTGTCAAAAAAGAGACTATTTTTGTGACGATGAAACATTAAGAGAAGATTAGCCCTCCACGTTATTGTCTGTGTTTAAAAGCTGCTATTTAAGTGCTCCTACCTGTGAACGGGCAGATTTAGATCTATGTTCGTCAGCAGGGGAAGGACAGTCGAGCAGAATGTTGGTTTCCTCCCTTCGAGTGTCCTTATGTTGATGCACGATTGCTTTTTCAGCGTGCTTTTATAGATTTGCGAGCCCAGCATGCACAGAATTAAAATTATTGATTTGTACGAGTGTGTTTGTAGCGTGTGCTGTCGAAGTAAAGCACGCATACGAAGGTTATGTCTGGCTGAGAAACGTCTGAAGAATAGCACTTCAAAGGGACAGATTCGAATGAGAAACTACGAGAAAAATTTGGGAAACTTTACGCAAGCAAAGAGAAAATTGGGGACAAGGCAGTGGTAAAGTTTTCACCCAGGGTTAGACTTTAAAATATCTAGATTCTGAAATTTTTAAAAAAGTATTACTCTCTCTCTCACCAGGGCTTTTGGAAGCCATCTTCTCGGACTCTTTTGGCGTTCTGAATAGCACAGGCTGACTTGGAGGGCTGCTTCCTCCCATGCTAATGCTCTGAACATGGACGATGTACTCGGTGTCCTCATCCAGATCCCACAATGCACAGGAGCGTGTGGTGGTGTTCACTTCCTGGATGAACCTCAGCATGCGTACATCCTTCTTCTGCAGAAGCACAAAGATCAGAAAGGCAGAAGTGTACATTTTGTATTTGTTTTTTCCCCCGATATGCCAGTACCCACTTGTGAATTCTTTGGCATGAAAAGGGTGACATTTCCATACATTTCCGTATATATATATATACATATATATATATATATATATATATATATATATATATATATATATTTCCACTTAAAATAATAGGCTTAGCAATACTTCCTTTCTTCTTGTTAGTGAATATTCCCAGGGTGCACGCTTTATCAAGTTCAGATTTCTAGTGGCAAAGTCCAATTTTCCTGGTTAGGTCTGATGTGGTGCAAATGCAAACACGTCTCTCTTGGTTAATAGAAAGGAAAATGCTGAAATAAAGCCTTCTGGGTTTTTTTTTTTTTTTTTTTACAATGTAATTAAGCATAAAGAAAGAGAGACAGACAGAGAGAGAGCCTCTCTGGCAGTGTACACTCTGCTAGAAATGTACATTATTATCCAGCTAGGGCTGCTTATTCAGGTCAATTGGCTCCTGCTAGATTAAAAGTAAGGCACCTTGGGGGCACTTTTGTTTACCAGGCAATTAAAGAAGCAGATTTCTTAAACCATTAAAACTTCATGTAGACAAGAGGTGCATTTGAAAAAGTACATTTGAAAGTGTTTCTTAATGTGGCCTCAGAAACTAAACTAGAAACTGGCCTAGAGAACCCTCTAATATTAAACCAACTGGAAAATCTCATATATGGCACATTAGTCGCTTTGGCTTGACCACAGTGGCCGTGCATCTGCAAGCTTCTTTGCAACCCACCTTCATGCCAGCTTCTCCTCATATGTTGTATCTACATGTGCATTTGGGAAGGTTGGATTTGTATTTGGCAATACGGCCAAATACAAGTTTCTGATATTTTTTTAAGCTATGATTTTCTGACTTTGGATTTCACATGCTTTTTTTTTTGGTGTTTATTTATGTTAAACCTGTGGTTTGAAGGTGCCATATTTCACACTATATATGGAATTAGCCATTAGCCAATAGATGTACAGACAACTATCCCTGGACCTTTTTAACTGTGAAGAAAACCTCAAATGTGATGATCTTCTGGCAACTTTTCCCGTCGTAATACAAATACTTTTAAAAAATAATTTTAAACAGATTCATGGGTATTTATTTGATATTGATATCTAAAGTAGGGATCCGAATATCCAATAATTGGACATTGGTGACAAACAGGGGTTAAAATGTGATTTGGCAGGTGGTGCAACCCTAAGTTCTGGTGTAACAGTAAAAGTGGGGATATGACTCGCTTAGTAATAAGTGACATAATCACTGGACTGTGATCTCTAGTAGATTTGTTTGGTGAACAGGCTGTGGTTAGCTGGCTGCTTGTTCTGAGGTATGCTGCTCTTTATGGGTTCAGTTCTACAACATAAAGCAGAAGACTGATGACTCCTTTTAAAATTAAGTCCTGTTATTTTCAAGCGTTAGCTAAATGAACTCCATTTGTGGTCAAAAACTGCATGTCTAGACTATCCTATGTCTAGAACTGTCAAAAATAATTTAAGGTTTTGCAGACTTTGCCCACAAATAAGGTTTTTAAAGCTTTTTCCTTGTGGGGGTTATTTTTTTACCACCATCTTTATTCTCTCTCACTCTCTTACATCTCTGCAGCTATCCTGGACTTAACCTCCTAAGACCCGAACTCTTCCACGGCATGCATTTTTAATTTCTCTTTGCTATTTGGGCTGATTGGGACCTGATGGTATGTAAAAACAAAGAATTACGTGATTTTTTTTTAACCTGATTTTCGTTTCTGAGAAAAATGAGATCCACATATGAGGACATTCGCTTTATATTTTGATAGAACAGTGGCAGTATAATGTCCTCGTAAGTGGATATCAGGCCCTTGTAGAGAAAAATGTATTATTTTGGTCTAGACAACCCTAAAATGTGATGTCCACATATGTGGACGCCAGGTCCTAGGAGGTTAAAGTAGCAGCGATATATGACCTCTGAATAACATTTAAATGATCATTTAATGTGTTGTCAAAGCCATTTCACAATATGAAATAACCTAATAAGCATCACATGTAGAGATCTGATGTGTGATTAAAATTTACATTTCCAGTTCATCAAATGTCACCTGCTGAGCAGTCGTTACCTACCACAGAAATGGTTTGTTTGTTTGTTGAACTGTTTGACACATTGCATTTAAATTTTTAAAAAAAAAGTTACTCTGCTTTTTCTCGCTTCCCTTGAGTAGAGCTGAAGCGCCACAGGCTCAACTTTACTGACATCTGCAGCATGGATGCAGTGACAGTGACAAAAAAGAGAAAACTATGTGGGCAGGTGGAACCAGGTGGTGACTTAACTGTCCCCATGGCATCAGCTGCATGAAAAATGAACTTTTTTGACATTATTTTGTATTTAACTCCATACCAGAATGCGGTCCTGAATTGCTTCAGCCCAATTTAACCCAAGATGACAACGGTCTAATCTACTCAAATCTGTTCTGTACTGTAGCAACAATACACCATTTGGGAGCAGGAGAACAGTTTGCAGGGCTCATTCATGCCTACGATGCCTATAGTGTTTTGTTTTTCCTAAGCAGTCGTTTTTGAGTAAGCCAGAAACAGTTTTCAAATTGTTTGACACAACTGAGGAGCTTCCTCAGTTGTGTCAAACCTACATGGATCTGTGTGAAAAAGTGATTGCCCCCTGAACCTAATAGCTGGTTGGGCCACCCTTAGCAGCAACAACTGCAATCAAGCGTTTGTGACAACTGGCATTGAGTCTTTTACATCTGTGGAGGAATTTTGGCTCATTCATCTTTGCAGAATTGTTGTAATGCAGCCACAGTGGAGGGTTTTCTAGCATGAACTGCCTTTTTAGGGTCATGTCACAGCCTCTCAATCGGATTCAGGTCAAGACGTTGACACTCCAAGGTATTCATTTTGTTTTTCTTAAGCTACCTGGTCTTTAAGTGACGTATGAATCCTGCTTCCGGGTCCAAACTACTCTGCGTTTATTAAGGCTGTTGTGTTTTTAACATGTTTTAATGCTTTTGTATTTTGTTCTATTCAATCTGACCAAGCCCCTAAAAAAAGTCAGTGATCACTGTCGGCCTCTCTCGATCTACCACTATTCATTTTAAAACCTTACAATGTAACTAGAGCCCAGCCAATCCAGCAGTATATTAATGACTAACCTCGTATTGTGGATGGATTATCTCAGTTGTTCTCCTGACTGAAGTTTGGTCCGTTTACAGCATCCTGCCATGCGATTGCATTTGTCCCTAACCCTCGGGAACCCTCACATTAACTTTTATCGAGTGGAAAAAAGTTAGCGTTCATCCTCCAGCTTCACTGTGCTAATGTGTTTATATTATGCTAACCACAGCTGTGCAGCTAGCCACCACGTAGCACAACTTCATGTAACCCTACAAACGTCACTACTGTTTAGTTTTCTGTCTTCATTTAAGTCGGAAGCGATAGCAGAGCTGTACGTTTTAATTTCTTCAGAATTCCTTCAGTCAGAGCGTGATGCATTATTTTTAGGTGGAAACTAGCGAGCTAGCTCTCTGCTAACTTCTAACTGCTAAATTTCATAAATTCTGTTTTCATGGATGTCTGGATGTTAAGCTTAATTGTTGCACCTGGTAAAGCAGCCACACTGATCATTTTATTAAAGATAAAAAAATTTAGACAGTTTTTAACTTTCAGTGATGCCGCAGTGTTCATTTGACTTTGGGACCTGAATAGGAGTTTGGACCTGTACACGGCTAATGACGTCAGACTTAAACCAGATTTAAAGGTAGAGGACTCCGAGGTTGCTGGTGTGTTTCAGATCATTGGCCTGCTGCAGGATCCAAGTGCATCACTGGCATATTTAGCAGATACCCAAAGTCAAAGTATTAGTACCAAATCAGTACTCAGAATTCCAGGAGTACTGATATTCTAGGAATGGGGCTACACTATATAAAAGTCGTACTCCGTTTGATTAAGTCATCATTTTTGACTCGCTCTCCACACATAACATACTCACACAACACATTAGAGCCTGAACAACATACAGGGAGTGCAGAATTATTAGGCAAGTTGTATTTTTGAGGGATAATTTTATTATTGAACAACAACCATGTTCGCAATGAGCCCAAAAAACTCATTAATATCAAAGCTGAATGTTTTTGGAAGTAGTTTTTAGTTTGTTTTTAGTTTTAGCTATTTTAGGGGGATATCTGTGTGTGCAGGTGACTATTACTGTGCATAATTATTAGGCAACTTAACAAAAAACAAATATATACCCATTTCAATTATTTATTTTTTACCAGTGAAACCAATATAACATCTCCACATTCACAAATATACATTTCTGACATTCAAAAACAAAACAAAAACAAATCAGCGACCAATATAGCCACCTTTCTTTGCAAGGACACTCAAAAGCCTGCCATCCATGGATTCTGTCAGTGTTTTGATCTGTTCACCATCAACATTGCGTGCAGCAACAACCACAGCCTCCCAGACACTGTTCAGAGAGGTGTACTGTTTTCCCTCCTTGTAAATCTCACATTTGATGATGGACCACAGGTTCTCAATGGGGTTCAGATCAGGTGAACAAGGTGGCCATGTCATTAGTTTTTCTTCTTTTATACCCTTTCTTGCCAGCCACGCTGTGGAGTACTTGGACGCGTGTGATGGAGCATTGTCCTGCATGAAAATCATGTTTTTCTTGAAGGATGCAGACTTCTTCCTGTACCACTGCTTGAAGAAGGTGTCTTCCAGAAACTGGCAGTAGGACTGGGAGTTGAGCTTGACTCCATCCTCAACCCGAAAAGTCCCACAAGCTCATCTTTGATGATACCAGCCCAAACCAGTACTCCACCTCCACCTTGCTGGCGTCTGAGTCGGACTGGAGCTCTCTGCCCTTTACCATCCAGCCACGGGCCCATCCATCTGGCCCATCAAGACTCACTCTCATTTCATCAGTCCATAAAACCTTAGAAAAACCAGTCTTGAGATATTTCTTGGCCCAGTCTTGACGTTTCAGCTTGTGTGTCTTGTTCAGTGGTGGTCGTCTTTCAGCCTTTCTTACCTTGGCCATGTCTCTGAGTATTGCACACCTTGTGCTTTTGGGCACTCCAGTGATGTTGCAGCTCTGAAATATGGCCAAACTGGTGGCAAGTGGCATCTTGGCAGCTGCACACTTGACTTTTCTCAGTTCATGGGCAGTTATTTTGCGCCTTGGTTTTTCCACATGCTTCTTGCGACCCTGTTGACTATTTTGAATGAAACGCTTGATTGTTCGATGATCACGCTTCAGAAGCTTTGCAATTTTGAGACACTATTTTTGACTTTTCTGAGCCTGTCAAGTCCTTCTTTTGACCCATTTTGCCAAAGGAAAGGACATTGCCTAATAATTATGCACACCTGATATAGGGTGTTGATGTCATTAGACCACACCCCTTCTCATTCCAGAGATGCACATCACCTAATATGCTTAATTGGTAGTAGGCTTTCGAGCCTATACAGCTTGGAGTAAGACAACATGCATGAAGAGGATGATGTGGACAAAATACTCATTTGCCTAATAATTCTGCACTCCCTGTATATACTATATAACAATATATCAGCATCGGCAATATGTAGGGCGTTATTAGGCATTTGCAAATATATATGTGTTGCATAGTTTGTCCACCAGAGGGCACTCTGTAACTCTGTCACGCAAACACAAACCAGCTGATGCGAGCATAGCTGGGCAGAATGTAAATGCGCAATCCATGGCTTGTGACAATGAAATGAGATTATTTTTAAACTGCATCGTCATATTACCTTATTAGTGGCTTATAAGAAACTACACATAACAAACGTTAGCGAAAACTACTTATGTTACGTATGCTGAAAGTTAAAAAATAATATATCGGCCGGTAAATCGCATCTCTAAATCACCAAATATTGATATTTATATCAGTCCTGCTGGGCTTTACAACACATGTAGCGGTACCTGTTGGGTGATGGCAAATCCGATGACAGGGTCTCCCTCCAAGATTTCCCACGTAACCACAGCAGAGTTAACCTCGAGTTCTCTGATGGTCACATTGAGCGGTGCTGACAGCAGGGTGTCTGACGCACATGCACGGCCAGAGGAAAGAAATAAAAAGAGACAGGCCATAAATATTCTTTACACTTTATAACTATAAACGCTACAACTTGAACAAATCGTCCCCCCTCTCACTCTCTCTCTCGCTGTGCTCTCGCTCTCTCCTTCCTTAAGATCTTCTCTTCACCTCCTACAAATTAATCCCTCTCCTTTCATTAATACCGGCCCTAATAAAGCACATACATGTCTCCTGGTGTTTCCCTTGAAAAAACACTTTTTCCATTCTCTCTCTGTTCTTCTTTCACGCACACTTTCGGTATCTTTAACTTTTCCTCTCTTCTTTCTCCTCCACATATCTCATTAAACCATGACTCTTGAGGAAAAACAAAAAACAAAAACACGATGCATTTATCAATCAGAAAATTAACTTTGACGGACTAAATTACAGTCTTTCTTAACATTTTTCATTTCTTAGCTGCGAAGGTAGCAGAGAGTAAAGTGTGTATGGTTATGTGAGAGTTAAGACCAACTCATGGTCTTCTACGATTACAGACAGAGTTGTATTTCCCATGAGCCTGACTTGTAAAGCAACATCAGAATCAGACCTTGACATCGTACACACAAGGATGATAACGCCCATGTGCACACACACATGAAACTGTCACTGAGAGGGACATTTATCTATTTTGTCACATAAATATTCTGTTGAATACGCGGAAATTCCAGTTAATCAAAATCTTTGATAGATTAAATGACACCTGCAAACTATAACTGGAGTCACTGAACTGTCCACTGTGTTTCTGCTGAGTCTTTTGGAGACATTTTAGTGGATGTTTATGAGGAGTAAAAACCATTCAAGAATTTTGTGCTTCTTATTAGTCTGGTAGTTGGCACTAATTTGCATATACCCAATATTTGGCCACACCTCTTTATCTCTGAATTCAGGTGTTTTCAGTCCCATGGCCATAGCTGAATAAGGTCAAGCACCCATTCATGCAGTCTACCTCTTTAGCACAAGTTATTCTAAAGAGCTCGCTGTAATAGGATGATACCAACAAGTCCGTTTTTGAAATTTCTTCCAGTTCAAGATACTCAACAATAAACTGCACACAGTATTATTGCACATATATATTTAAGAACCACAGCAACTCGACCCAACACTCTGCTGACTCTGTAATTGCAGAGCTACAAACCTCTGATATTAACATCAGCATAAAAGCTGTGCACCAGGAGCTTCATGCCATGGGTTTACAAAAAAAATCCTTGTAATCGCTTTGGTTGCTTGCAGACTGTGGTGGCTGTCTGTAACTTGCATGAAGGATTTGTCTGCAAATATTCATCAACTGCTTGCTGAGTGGTAGTAAAACGTGGAAAAGATGAGGTGAAAACCAGAACTGGAGACCACTTGAGTGAAACCTGTGTCTTACTGCTGCAGCCAAACACATTTCAAAAGGTGAACCGGTGAACTGAACACCAGTGTTTGTTCATATATCTTCACTTCTGGCTCTAATAAAACTAACACGATGGCAGCCAGAAGACTTTAAAAAACAGAGAGCAAGGAATCAATGGGTGATGCCGCCACTGCTATGTCTGTCTTTTATATACAGTCTATGGTCAGCAGCAGTGGATAGCTGTTTCTGGCCTGTGCACAGTTTGTACTTCACTATCTATTTTTGTCATTTCGTGCCATTAAAAAAGGAAATTAATGGTCATTCCCAACCCCTGAGCGACCGTGGCTCAGGGGTTGGGAATCGCATCTGTAACTGGAAGGTCGTCGGTTTGATCCCTGGCCTCTCTGTCCTGGTCATTGTGTCCTTGCGCAAGACACTTTACCCTACTGGTGTTGGCCAGAGGGGCCGATGGCGCGATATGGCAGCCTCGCTTCTGTCAGTCTGCCCCAGGGCAGCTGTGGCTACAACTGTAGCTGCCTCCACCAGTGTGTGAATGTGAGAGTGAATGAATAGTGGCATTGTAAAGTGCTTTGGGTGCCTTGAAAAGCGCTGTATAAATCCAATCCATTATTATTATTATTATAACTCCTGGCCGCTCTACCATCTGTCCTCCCGCTGAAGTCAGCCCATTGTTGCACAATTGCACAGGAAAAACAATTTTTGATTTTATTTGCACCATTTTTTAGCTCTGACTGGACAAGCTCCTTTCAAGCTTTTTCTTTGAAAATATTGTTACCAGGAGAAACGCCGTCAGTCATGTGACACTGTTGCATTAAACCGCTGCAAATATTGAGCACACAATCTTGAGACTTGTTCTTGGAGTTAAAAAGTGTTGTTACAGGAAAAACAAGAATGTACTTTATTTTCTTCCCTCCCTTTCTGCTTGCTGATAACACAATCATCACAGTACAGTGTGTTACATCATGTTGGTGAAATTAATTTTTGGTAGGCGACAAACTCAGTTGAGTGGCTCCCAAAGGCTGCATGTGAATGTGTGTGTATGTGTGTGTTTGCTGATGCAGAGTAAATGTGTGATGTGTTCCCAAGTACTGTACGGGCATGATCCATCGCTATGACTCCCTGTTTGACTGGCCATTTTCTCGCTGTTTATCTTCCTGTTCTCACACAGACACAGAAACAATGCAATGGCAGAGAGGGATTCCCGTCCATTCTTAAAGCGTTTGCTGCAGATTAACAAAAATTCCCTCTTAAAACTACATCCATTCCCAGCCTCGGGAAGCCAAAATATCAAATCTCTAGAGGCCGAGATAAATCCCACATGAGCTTATTGCCAAGATTTGGGCTTTTCACGCGACTGTCATCTATCAGCTTATCATCAGGATGCAGTGTAACCAAGATCTTACGCATGAGATGAACATATGTTGCCGCAGGTTAGAAACATGCGATATCGTACAAGATAGATGAGATAGTCCCCCAGCCCCCAACCCCACACACGCATGAACATATAGGAGGATTGGACCTGCTGTACGTAGAGGCTTTACATGGAAGTAACTCAATCACATTTCACATCCCTTCAGGACACTGGATGGATGAACCTGCACATTTTTAAAGCAGCTACTAGAGATTATCTCCCCAAACAATGAAGAATTTTCAGAAAATGGTGAAAAAATGCCAACTGAAATATTCCAGGAGCCAAAATGATGCTCACTAATATCTTGTTTTGTCTGACACAAGAGAAAGTGGCAAATACTCACATCTGAGAAAATGACCACTGATTGGTCAGTTAGTCAACTAAAATGTAAAGCTCTATTGCTCGTTTAGTCTTTACTTGAATTTAACAGTCATCTGAGAACTTACTGAGCCAATCACACGGTGCCACAAAGACTGGGTTTTTTTTGAATGACACTTTTCTAGAAACATTTATACAAACTGGGATTAAACTGTCACTCTGATGCAGTGTGAGACCAACTTGTGTCAGCCATTTTTTTGGCATCACTAAAGCTCACTGTGTCCACCTATAGCTGATGCACGCACATGCAGTGTGTCACGTCAGGTGGCTTCCCAAAAAGGGATGAAATGCACACCAAATGCATGACATCAGTCAGCTGCTGCCAAATAATACTAAAATAAAAGCACAACGACATGTGTTTAATCGGCCCGCTGCATCAACTCACATTTACTCGCAACGATCGCTCATCAACCTGTGGTAAAACTCACCGGCATTAACGGAGGACGCTGAGAGGAAGCCCAGCAGGAGCAGCAGCACCGCCGCAGACAAGCCTGGTTTAGCCATCCTCCTGCTTCTTCTGGTGAGGCTTCACATCCTGTGCGGCCCATTTATAGCATGGCGTTTAACGGGAGGAGGCGAGCATCCCCCGGTTAGGGTACCGGAGAGAGGAGGTACTTGTTGTACCGGAGACCGGGCTCACCTGAACTTGGACTCTGCAGCAGCAGAAGCGCAACAACGGCCAGAGGAGAGGAGGAGGGTTAAGGGGAGGGTGGGGAAAGGGACGGGGTGGTGGTGGTGCACGATGCCGTTCTCAGTTGTCTCGGTGGACACCTCACAACGACGGCCCTTCGACCACCGGCGGACTTCCAGGCTGGCTGTGATGGAAAGTCGGCGCAGAGAGGATTTCAGTATGCGGAGAGGTGGAAGAAGTGCGCAAGTGCTGCAGAGTGCAACGTGCAGCCACGGCTTATGACTCTCTCTCTCTCTCTCCCTCACAAACACACGCACACACTTGCATCAGTCCTCGCTTATAAGTTACTTGCGAAAAACAAACCAATCCTCCAAAGAGAAATCATCATTTTAGACAAAAAGTAACATATCCGTGCCTGTTGTCAGCTATTTTTAATGAAGCAGTCTGAAACGCTTTAACCAATCAATCATTTATAAAGCACAGACGTTCACTGTTCTATCTGTGCACATGTGTTATTGCAATATCAATACATCTGGATCTGAGAGGACGCTGGAAAGGCCACACAGAGACTGGATCCGAGTGGATCTGAACCCTGGACCTTCTTGCTGTGAGCCAACAGTGCTATCCACCATGTCACCTTGCTGCCTTAACACCACTTTAAGCTAAGTTTTTAACACATAATGCATATTATGCCTTACATTATGATTTCCCAAGTCAAATAAGTAGTTTTTCATGCCTGACCCTAACTGAAGAGTAGCTGGGTGAGAATGTATGGACAGTTACAATATCTAAATAAAAAAATGCATTTGTGATGTGATGATGTCACTGTTGCTGTTTAGGATTGTTAGTTTGCCCCCCCCATCATCTTTTGTGCACCAACAGCCTTACCGAATTCTGGTGCCAGTGATCTTCCAATAGTAAAACTGCACTAAAAACTTTCACTTTCCTGTGGATGTAAGAGAAACACTGATGTCTATGATAGTGCAATAAATGCATTTAAATGCCATAGCTTCAGCCTCTCTTAGACCTTGCGACACAACCGTTAATTTAGAATCCTCTGTACATCATTTACAAATGATGCAACACAAAGGTAAAACATTTCTAAAGACATTTAATGATTCCTAACATTACATAAGCTGGAATGGGATTCCAGAAGCTAAAGGAAGGAAAAAGTGATCCCATGCAACGTTTAATAAAACATGAACTGTATATGTGTAGAAATTAATAATAGGAATGAATCTATAAACAGGAAATCAATTGTGAGTGCGATTTGTCAGTAAAAGGGCTCTTATGTGCAATCGAAGGACCTATTGATCCCATACCCACTCAATCAAATGAAAGGGCTCTGGCAGGCACATAAAATCTTACTAATTGTGTATCCTATATGGTCTCTTAAAGAGAATAACATGCAGTAGTAGGTCAATAAAGGGGACACAAGGGTCCTGCAAAGCTTGTGCACCTTATTAAGAATAAAATTGGGCCAGTGTTTCTCCTGGAGTGTGGCAAAATGCTGTCCGTTGTGCTCATGTATAGGTACTCAGGGACACAGATTACACAGATCAATACATGATTAACATTCTCAACAGACGCCCCTTTAACGTCTCTTTTGCTTCAGGGAGAAGATGCCGATGTGACGCCCTGCTCCTCTCCTTTCTTCTCTTTGCTCTTCAGTGTCTTTCAAGGTTATAAGAACAATTTAAGATGACAACATTCATATCTCTTTGCTGTGCCGCTGACAGTTTTATCACTCAACTTAGGTTCAGACGAGCACAGTCTCCTCCAGTGACCTCTGGTTTCAGCTTGCAAAATAAAAAAAGAAGAGACAAAAAAAAAAACCCCACCCTTGAATCTTCACCTTACTGGTGGTCACGCCAGTTGTTTTCATGAAGCATGATGCTGACAGATTTATTTTTGGAGAACTTCTTTTTAGAGGTTAATGTGTTTGGAGAAATGATAAGAAATCATATGCAGATTTAATGTCAGGTTTAAAATAAGAGGAATACTTCATCATTTACCAGAGATCAGAGGGAGATGGTAAAGATCAACACTGCAGTCATAGTATTACATTTACTGTCAGTACACAGTTATTATGACCCCCCTGTGTAGAGTCGTTGAGCTGAACATGAACAATACAAACGTCTTTGCAAACTGGAATAAACTTGTAATCTCAGCAGTCTCTGCATGCAGTTATCAAAGAATATGGCTTCACATGTAGTTGTCAATAAACCAAGCATATTGCCTAATTAGTAGGCAAATCTTATCAACTGTTTGTCCTATGTAGGATCTGGTACTTGATTGGAGCTTATCTTTTTTTAAAACAAAGACGTCGCCCCCTACTGTTCATTAGAAAGAATGCAGATTTAAGGTGCTTCTGCAGCTGCCAGTGATTTATATAAAACTGCTGGCTTCACTTTACAGACACAGGCAGCAGGAACAAAGCTTTAATATGATCGATTTGTTGGACAACATGAGAAAAACAGTTGTCCAGTGGGTGTTAAAGAGTGTTTTGATGATCTTAGATAGCTGTGTGGATATACAACATTTTAGCTTAGCGAGAATTAGCTTTATCTCACTACTTAGCTTGCTAGATAAGCTATAAAAAATGTTTGTTGAATCTGGACTGAATCACGTCAACCTCACAGTAAAATAACAAATCATTAAATTATTCCCACATTTGCAATTAGTGTGTAGCACTCAAAGTACGGCTCATTGTGCCTACTTTTTGTTCTTGAGGAGTTGTTTTCCGTTGCCTGTTGAGTTTGGAGTGTACCGGGATACATTTGTCGAAGAGGGTGCTCTGTGTTGAACTCAAGTGGAGCTGATGGGGTACAAAAAAGGCTAGAAGTGGCCTTAATCCATCTGAAGCTTGAGGGGAATGAGCCAGTCTGCAGCCGCTTTGAAGTGGCATTATCGCTCACTTTCTCCTCATCTCTTCTCACTGCTAACCCCCAAACTGCCCCTGGGGGAGTTTAATTACAGTGTATGGTAGTGTGTGTGTGTGCGTGTGTGTATGTGTTTAGGACAGAGGAATATTTATGGTTGAGCCATGCAAATGAAGACGAAAAAGGATCTCAAGTGAAATGAGGTGAGAAATTGTGGTGGAAATTGGACGGAAAATAATGACTTGAAAGAAATTCGAACAACACAAAAGTGAAGGCAGACGGTGAGCGAGGAAGATTTAAGTCCAGCAGAGGGAATAATGGTGGGAGAGGTCAGGAAGAGGAAAAAAGCAGAAGGAAAAGTGTCAAGAGTGTGATATGGAGATAATAAAAATGAGTTTCAGCCCATTGCTTTACTCAACTTTCCCTTAATGACAACCTGAACCCATCCGGCTGTTCAACTCAGCATAGAGGCATCTCTACAATGACACACAAACACATGCACATCATCCATGCATGCTGCTATCCTGAAAAAAAAGGGGAAAAGTGCTTGCCTCAGAGCTGCTGACATCATCACATCTCTTCTCATTCTTGAATATTTGGCCCTTCTCTCCTTGGCGATGCAATTCAATTTTAAGGCTCACGAGACTAAAGCAATTCACCTTACTCCTGTCTTCCCTGCAGGTGAGCGAGCAGGCAGCACAGCAGGGACACGGAAACATATTTTGTGTTTGCAAGTGAATTTAGTTGCTCTGAAAGTGTACACTGCCTTTTACACTCTCTCTGGATTGCCAAAAAAACCCATCAATAATAAATTACTGGTAATACAGCTTTTGTTAACTAACTATTCTCCGTAAATGGAAAGTTTGGAAGTTGGTCATATGTAGGACTGATGCAGCCTGCTTTCCACCACGTCACATAAGTAGGTTATTGTTTTGCCCGAGGATGCTACTGACAGTGGGGTGCATGTGTAAATTTTATGCAATCCCAGTAGGGGATAAGTGCACTCCCCAACATGATCTGACCTGAACCAAAGGCAACAAAAATGTGTTCTTCTTTGTAATATTATCCTGTCTTTCTTCTCTCTCCCCAACTGGTCACAGCAGATGACCCCGCCCCTCCCTGAGCCTGGTTCTGCTGGAGGTTTCTTCCTGTTAAAAGGAAGTTTTTCCTTCCCGCTGTCACCAAAGTGCTTGCTCATAGGGGGTCATATGATTTTGAGGTTTTTTTCTTTGTATGTATTATTGTAGGGTCTACCAAGCATTGAGGGGACTGTTGCTGTGATCTGGCGCTATATAAATAAAATTGAATTGAACTGAAATTGAAAAGGTTCATTATTTCAATTTTTTCCTTGTAATATTTCTGAATTCTGTTTTTATGCGGTAAACTTCTACCTGTTATGTATAGAGTGTTTGTATGGTATTTACATGCTGTATGTTATGAAACCGTTTTGAATAAGTCTATGCATGTATTCATCCTCTGCATCCTTTCGTAAAAACTCTCAAATACACATGGGCAAATAATAATTTGATCCCCTGCTGAATTTGTAAATTTGTTCACATACAAAGAAATGAACAGTCTCTCAAATTTTTATGGCAGTTTAATTTTAATATAGAGAGACAATCATAATAATACTTCAGCCAAAAAAAAGCTAGAAATGGATTTTCTGTGAAATTACCCAGGGAGGCATCTGAGGGAGCTACAGATCGGCTGTGTATCCATGTGGCAGTTGGATCCACTGTTACCAAGAACACCCCTGGTAACACAATACGCTGTGCTCTATCTGATATTCTCGTTTTGGTGTTGTTCCTGGATCAACATTTCATCTGACCAGTCGCATTGTTACGATGTCATAGCTTTGCGACTTAGAGAAGAATACTTGCCGATGTCCACTCAGGAAGAAAATCCAAAAAAGGAGCCGTTAGGGTCAAAATTAGGGTTGGGGTTAAGATATGATCGTGGTTACGGTTAGGGTTAGAGTTCTGGGGTTAGGGTTATGGTTTGGTGTGATGGTGTTTCCAAGATGCTAAACTATGACATCACTACAATGTGATTAGTTCCTTGAAATGTTGAACTTGGATCAACATTACCGCCGTTGATCCAGAAACAACTCCAACACAACAATATCAGATCGTACCTGTGCTATAATGGAATCTTCCGGAACCTGCAAAGCGCATGTACAGGCCAATCTTAGGGTTAGAACATTTAAATGATTCTGAGAAGTGCTGTGGTCAGATTAAACTAAAGTAAAAGTCTTTGGCATCAACTCAACCCCCCTGTATTTTGGAAAATGCTGAGTATGAACCAAAGAAAGCCATTCTCACAGTCTAGCAGAGAGGTGGAAACATTACCTTTGGGCAATACTTTCATTAATACTGTGGTTTTCAGTACTGGGACACGGTCACTCCCACTCTACATTGTAGCCACAGCCACCCTGGGGCGCACTGACAGAGGCGAGGTTGCCGGACA